AAATGGATTTGGGGTATCGGCACCGTTGGGATCCGTAGTGTCGTTTCCCGATCACTGGCGCATCGGCATTAGTACTTGCAACACATCGGATTGTTAATCTTTCATCCCCCCTTTCTTTTCCCAAATATTTACACCCGCGGACATAGCAAGTAGGCCCCCACACAGGGTTCTCTGCATTTGTACGTACCAGCGGAATGCAGCGGAATGTGTCTACCGCAGCCCCAGCCGCATGGATCTGGACTGATGCATTTCAGACATTCAATTTGTCACTCTCTACTTTAGCTGCCGCCCGAGCTCAGCCACTTGCGGATTGTAGTACATCAGATAGCGAGCACGTGTGCAGGCCGCTTGCACAAGCAAACCCCGATTACCATTCTTAATTAGATGAGTAACTGGAAGCTGAATAAACATTCGGCTTCTCCTCCCAAGTTAGTCATTATTGGCTGGTCAGAACGTTGCCCAAGGTTGCAAGAGCACCAGCTGCCCACTCATGTTTGCGGTTCTACAGGTATCTTACTAACTGTATGAGCTAACACCTATATGTAAGGATACCTGAACTCAAGGATTTGCAAGGCACGGCGACACAACTGGCCGAAGATGGGCAGTGTGCTTTTTTTTTTTCTTTTCCGACTTAGTTCCGCTGGAACCGAAGATTTCCCGCTGATAACCGCAGGTGCAAAGTTACACGATGGAAAGTCTTTAAAGTCTTGGAAGGTTTTTTCTCCCCTATTTAGTAATTTAGTTATTTCAGTATGCTAGAATACTTTTCCCATTAAGTTCAGATACCGTCAATAACATATTACAACTGAATACACAAATAAGCAGCTTAGTAACGCTCTAATTTGAAGATAACACCGATCAGTGCTATATAGCTTGAACAGGCGACCAAGGAGGCGATCCACATCTCGGCCGGAGGTGTATCGGTCGAGAGCGGTCCAGGTCCGCATCGGCTCAGATTTGCAAAGCAGCATATCCATTAACCATCCACTAGGCAGGTATGTCGTATTCAGGAACGAGTCATGTGAAGGGGGTAATACGATAGTTTGCCAAACGGCACCACCGTCGAAGCTGATGCCGTGACATCAGCCAGTTGACGCAGGCGGATGAACAGTCATCAGGCACTCTATCAGAAGCATTTGGCAGTGAAAACCTTAGGAGCATGCTCAGGTGATTCATGCCTCTTCTTCATGGGCCCCTCCAGCTTTCTTGACAGGTCCTGGGAGGAGCATGCCAAGATAAAGCAAGACCAGTCATCAGCCCTGTCGACCAACACATAAACATACTCAGCTTGGGAAAGACTGACTCTCATGGTTACGCACGAGCACTAGTTCGGCCTTACAGTATCCATACTAGGGACAATTGAGCATTGATGGGGAAGGCTGAAGGAAGCAGGAGAGTGGGTCATCCATCCGAGGAAACTTGCCTCATGTCGTACACTCGGTCAGGGTCCGTTAGAAGCAGCGACAAGCCACACTCATGAGTCGGTCACCCGACTGGGGACTGTGGCTCAACACCCCAGATCCTTGATCGTACGACAACAAACAATACCCTCCGCAGTATACCCCAGTGCACTGCACAGACACTTCAACATCGGCACGTGCCCCTAGTAGTAAACAAATCGGAGGCATACATCCCTTGGCTGCCTCAACTGAATACAAACCTCGGAGAATACGTAGATGCGCACTGGCTGTGTAATTGTGCGAAACAGAGTCATAACAAGAGTTGGTGGCCGATATGATAGGACTATGGCAAAGGTGGCAACAGGAAGACATTGACCTGAGGGCACCAGCCACACTACGCTAAACTCAACAAATCTCAGCAACACACGCCACAAAGCACCATGTCGACGGCTACTGGTGTACCTTTTTTTTAATTTTTTTTTCCCGTTGAACACTGATACCACATAAGGCGCGCCAAGCTTACCTTATCTGCGGCGACGCCCTTGACTGGTGGACACGCCGAAGAGCTGCCATCCATTATGCTTCCATAAAAAGACAATACGCATGCAGTGTGTCCGTTTGTACGAATAGCGTGCGCCGGCACGTAATCCATGCTCATGGTTGTTCTACGGTCGAAGGGGGGAAAAGGCAGCCACAGAGACTGATCTTGGAGGGAAAATTTTTTTTTCCTCTCCAAGTCAGTCCCCGCCAAGCATTATCGGATGCTGCTCACAGCCGTCGGGTTTCGGCATATTTTCTATCACTCTATCCTTTCTACTCCATTTTCTCAGATAGTAAACCAATGACGGAAGTCACATGGAGGTCAATATCAGACACTGCCAAATCTAATACTTGTCCATGAGTCAATCGTTGGAGGCCTGCGCAGAGACGGAACCAGAACAGCTGCCGGGTGATTACATAATGTACGGACAAGATTCTCCAAGCCCCTGACATCATATCCACCTGTTGCATATTACTAACACAGAATACATGCCCTATACGTAGTTTGTCACTGTCTGCCGAGGTTCGGGAAGGTGTCCAACGCCCATGACGGACTTGGCAAGTCCTAGACAGACATCAGAACCCTGAAATGGGCTGGTGAGAGCCGATCGAGAATCCAGGCACAGGGAAAGGGCCATTCTGTAAGGGACCTTGGCCGTGGTGCGGCATGCCACGAGGCCGTGTGCAGCTGGCTGAGCGGTCGTTATTGGCCCTGCGTCTGTACACTGCATTCAAAGTGGGAAGTCGTCTGTTTTGATGGGTTGATGGGTTGCTTCGGCTTGGACGACGACGAGGGTGGTCTGGCCATTACGGTATTGTGGCTGAGCCCCTCTTTCCGTGGCCAGGCCTCGTTCTTCGTACAAAGCAGCGCAAAGCAGATAGGGTAGGCCTACTGGGCTGTCTGCAAGTGGAGCACGGATATCGCTGTCACTGAGCATGCTCACTCAGTGCGATCAATACCTGCTGGGCTGAGCTGCCTGCCTACCCAACTTAGCTACCTTGGCGGAGGAACGTTACAATGAAAGCAGTTGTGCCTTCACTGGTGCAGCACATCAACACAACAAACAGCGCAATATAGTTCAGTTCAGCTCGTTTTCGGCCTACTCTCGCTTTCTCACTGCTAAACCAAGTATCTATGTACCTCGGACTCTTACACATGCTTGCTCCCCACTGACCCAAGGCAGTCTAGACCCAAGATCCAATGCCTTCACCAGTGTGCCCCTAGACAAGCGAACAGGAAAAGAGCGACTGGCATCGCGAGCATGGCAGCGATCTTCCCCCTCCCTGTACTCGTCTACTGCCCCTCTTCACAGCACCCTCTTCAGCTACGCAGCGTCAGATACCCAGCTAGACAGGGATACGCTAGGGGAAGAAGGAGGGTTGAAAAGAAAAAAGAAGAAAAGGGAATGCGGATGGTGCGCGCTGCGGCTGGGCTAGGTGGCCCCTGTATCCAGGAGCATTGGCAGTACTGTAGGATATTCAACCTGCTGTACCACGCCTTGATCAAGCTGCTGTCATCGGGTCACAGCGGACATGCGATATGCTCCAACGAGTGCATCACACCCTAAGAGAACGGACGGGTGGGCCCACCCCTCACCCATTCCACCATCAGTGCACCATGGCATTTACGTCACTCCACATCGCAGCCACGGGATTATCGATGCCCTTCCGTCGCCGAAATGGAGTCATCTACGTCTTGATCGCTGGATGAAGCACCATCTTCTGAACCACTCGCAGATTTTTGGAGGTCATATCGACGACATCCATGGCTAAATTCAGCAATTTAGTTGGCTTTTACTGTCAAGCGAACAGTCTCCGCGCTATTTCCTAAAATGATCTGGTACGACCAGCGATTTGCATGGATACTTCCGTATCCTGCCTCTCGACCTGGTAGTATTTTCGCATCATTTCATCCCAATTATGTAGAGGTGGAGGATTATGCTCGGCCTCTCGTGCTCACTCACTCATCATCACCAAATTTGCGTACTAAGAACCCGATCACCTACTTATACAGTTCACGACTGATCCAATGCCAATCAAGCGGGGCTGAGAAACTTATAGAGCTTTCGCGAAAGCACCATGGCTTGATCTCAGTATATTTGAAAACCCCAATTACTCATTGTGAATACATTACCTCTCCGAATCCCGCGAGGACCGTGACTTGTTCCGGTCCCACGTCAGCTGCCAGCATCGCCGTCGGCACGGCTATACGGTTTTCTCTCTCTAGCAGTAGTTACTTTCCTGTCAACGATGCCGTGAGTCAATCAGAATGGACAGGTTCAACGCGGGCCCCCCGAGCAGCGCCGTAGGACCATTTTTGCTTCTGTTCCCATGAGCTCGACAAGAACATGATACGAGGTCAACATCGAAGAGAGAAAGGCCAGGAGAAAGGCTAGTAAACTTGTAGTGTTTCCCATTCTAGATGCCCATTCCATCATTCGTTGACATCGACCACCTGTTATTAAACACTACACATCCTTACACATTCTGCGTGCTTGGCAAATCAGAAAGTCAAAAACCGGTTGGACCGTCCTCGGTCTTGGGTGTTCCCCCGATTTCCAACCCATACTAAACGTAGTGTTGGTCATCATCCTTTCGATCCGCAAATGGAGGGAGGGAAGGGTGGGAAAAATTGTGTCCCTCCCTCAGCATCTTCTGCATCATTCACACCCCCGGTCCCGAACCTGGACCCCCTTGTACCCCTGCTCCTCTGGAGGTGCTTCCTTTCTGGGCACCAAGGTAAAGCCTCGGGTCCTCTAGCCGGTACCTCCGCTCCGCTTTCCAAGCACTGCGGTAAGTGCGAAATGGTACGTACCTTGCCTCGACCCGTCTTCTAAGCCCGCCGCACTGGCATGCATGTCCCTGTCTCTGAACAAGGTACGTACCTGGGCCCTACTTCAGAGCAGCATGGGCCTGCCAGCCCACTCTCAAGCCCATACGTAGGCCCTACAGGTAACAACCTGCACATTTGGTCTTCCATATAAGCCGCCTGCCCTCCACGGTTTGCCACATCTTCATTCCCCTTCACCAAATCCACATCATCCTTCTTATTGACACATCATGCTGTTAACCCAACCTGCTACTGTGCAACCTCTCCAACAACATCACTTCCACCGCAATCATCCACAACAACCCTTGCCCCAACCTCAGCGATTCTACCCGCACTCTCTCGACTTCGACTTCGACACAACCTTGGACGACTCAGCGCACAATATTTCGAGTATATCTTCCTCGCCTCTTTCGACGCAGTCGCTTCCATCTCACAACTACTCTTTGGCTGCCCAGTCTACCACATTTCCCAATTTTGATTCTTCTCATCTGGCAGTACCCAGAAGAGTGGCGCCTGCTACTACAACTTTCGACGACTCGTCTTTGAATCTCAATTTTAACCAGCTTCCACAAGATCTCATGCAGCCAGACGCCTGGGTTATCGGAAACCATTATATTCCCAAGCCGGTTGGTCGGTTCTCTCATCAACGGGAATCCTCATTGTCATCTTTGGGGTCCGCTGGTCCTGCTTCGCCCTTCAACCCTAACACGTCCAACCCGCACATCGCAGTCACTGATTCAGCAACCGACGCCTTTCAAGAGATGCAATCTCACGACAGCAATTCATTCTACCAGCTTGCCAAGGCAATGCCATCCCATGACAACATGTATCCAAATTACAACGGCCTCGCCACCCTCCCGACAGACATAAGTGGATATGCCTCAGCGCTCAACGTACAGAGGCCGAGATCCGACCGGAGCGGCCTTCTCCCAGCCCCAGAATTGTCTGTTGCAGGCAGTAGGTCTCATCCAGCATCCGTGGCAAGTTCAGTTGCCGGTGACTCACCCGCTACACCATCTGTTGGCGAGCACGAGGATGACAGGAGGCGCAAAGCTGGTAAGGAACATTCCTCTGAATTCGATCGGTTTGTAAGCATGGGCTCACCACAAATCTTTAATTCAGCTTTCAGCAATGTTCCAAAGTTAGACCGTACAATTACGGACATTTACAACGACGAGCTATACAGCCCCAACTTCACCATCACTTCGGCATCACCAGCTCAAGGTCAAATGGCTGTCTCACCCAGTAATGACGTCTTTGCTCAGAGATTACATGCTGCCAACAACCAGCATTTGAGTGCAGCTCAATCGCCTGCGTCTAGCGTGTCCCGAGATCGATCACCCTTTCGCCAAGGTTCGCCACTGGCCCCCGTTGCTAGTCATGACTTTGGTGCTGGTTTGCCCGCCTCCAGGCTTCGATTTAACTCAGCACATCACATGAGGGAGCAAAAAAAGGCTGAGCAAGACGCCCAGATTATGAGACAACAAATGTCAATGAAGTCTGAGCCGGAGACTCCTAAGACAATATCGCCCAAAGACGCTATGCTCGAATTCCACGATGCTGATGGAGATAACTCGTTCCCCCTCTTTCCTTCCCAGGACCCTGCTGATTTTGACGATATTGCGAAGGCAGTCGTCTCGCAAGAGCAAAGCAATGGTTTTAATAGACCATCCTTACAAAATGGAGCCGCATTCCCCTACCTACCTACACAGCTTTCGAGCGGTGTTCAGATACCACAGCAATATCCGTTCATTGCACATGCACGTCAATCACAAGAACAAATTCCCCGTCTCAGCTCTGTCGAGTCCAGTTCCGGCATGTCAGAAGGAACACCAAGTTCCAACAGTGCTCCCATGACAAAGCCGGCTGGCGCTGCAGCGGATGGAGGAACTTACACCTGCACATATCACGGATGTACATTGCGATTTGAGACGCCTGCCCTTTTGCAAAAACACAAGCGCGAAGGCCACCGACAAATTCAGGGTATTGGTGGCCCAAGACGAGGCGAATCGAGCGTGACCTCCCCCAACAGTCTGCTCAACAGTCAAGCAGGCCCTCACCGATGCGACAGGATCAACCCCAGCACTGGAAAGCCTTGCCATACGATCTTTTCGCGTCCTTACGATCTCACTCGACATGAGGACACCATTCACAATGCGCGGAAGCAAAAGGTTCGGTGCAATTTATGCACTGAAGAGAAAACTTTCAGTCGTGCGGACGCGCTTACGCGACACTATCGTGTATGTCACCCTGATGTCGAATTTCCTGGCAAGCACCGGCGCCGTGGAAATAACGCTTAGGATTCTCCGCAATGAACCAGGAAGCAGGTGCTAAGAACTTGCAAACGTTCTACGAGTATGCTGCAAGCGGCTTTGGTTGGGTGGAGGAAACACCGCGATGATCATGACGTCGAATATCAGCATCGCAATCTGAGTCGGCAACATCTCCTAGCAAAGTGGCTGCACAAGAGAGCGTCACAAGAATGGAAGACTCAAGGCGTTGATCATTATCGGTGACCAATCGTATGTCGAGCATATGTCTTGGTGCTGATCAGGCCGTTCAGAGAAGCCAATTGACTGGGAAGAGTGGGACATGGGTGGGATTTCAGGGTCCTTGTCAGTGCAGTAGGGGTCGTGCGGCATGACATCATCATGGTCCGTGCTGCACGACCCTGACGATCCAGGTGGACCACAATGACATCATTCATTCCGCCCAAGCCTGCGGCCATCCATGCGAATATTGTCAGTCAACCAATCCCAACTCCGCCCGGCGACATCATGATGAGCCTTGGCACGGTCATTCTTCCCCGCCTATGAACAACTGTCTCATGGCAAGACGAAATGGTGAAGAGATGGACTACAAGGTTATCGACCAAACAGCCACAGCACGATCTGCGGGTATTCTGGTTTTATTCCTCTCATCGTTTCCCCACCCCCTCTGGTCATCTTGTATGTTTCCGCGGTTGTCGGAACAATCTATCCGATTCAGCGACGGATCACCCGGTCCCGATTTACGAAGCGTTTGACTTGGCCAACTTTGACTGTAAGATCCAGTATGGCACCCCAAGCACATTTTGGGAATTATTCCGAGCGAGGACTCGTCATGTATTGTAATTAGCGTTTGTCTCATTATGCCTTTTTACTTTCCTTTTTCCTACTTCACCGTGTAGTTGACACGGTTGTAAATTACGTTGTATTCAAACAGCTGCATGGACTAGATAAAATAGGAAACATGGGACAGGAGCACAGGCGGCTGTGCAGCACTGGATGACTTTATGATGAAAGATGATATTAAGCTGTATAGAATAGTTAATTAACGCACGATTCACTGAATTAAACGTGTTTTGGCTGAGCTGGTGGTGTATCAACTCGTTGAGCGCTCTCAGCCATGTGGGTTCAGTAGTAATGTAGAAGGGTACAGTGGTACATTTTGACTTTAGACATCTTGATTGGTTTCTTCTTCTCACGAGTTTTCGCACAGGTACGTGCACCTTAGAAAGGACAGCAGCGTCGTTTACGTTTACATGCTAAACCAGGTCTAACGCCTGTTTGGCGCTAGAGGAGACCACAATCGCGATGCTCAGATAACGTCATAAAGCGGAGTGTTGCGGATCCTATAGCTTGAGGCATGCTGTCATTGCCTGGAAGTTGCGGAACAGAATTACAAGAAGACGGGTGCGAGAAAGCGGGGGGGAAGCCCTCATTCACATCAACAAATGCATCATACGGCTTTCGGATTGCTTCCGATGGAGGTCATCACCACATCATGGATAACCACACCATGCAGTATACTTCTCGCTATCTTGCTAAGGTGTTCGCTCCATTTGACCTAACAGGACTGACAGGAATGAGCTGGCTTTAGTCCACCTCCATCTACGAACCCAGAGGTCTACTTTTCCAATTTCGTCACGTTTTCCTCGGCGCTGGGAGCATCTGCGGCTTCTTCACCCAGTACAGCGACTCGAGCAGTCTGATATAGGGGTGTAATGCCGGTCCATTTCTGGAACTAAATCAAATGTCACGTCAGCCATACGCGTTTTCCAACGACATCGCCTTTTTTGCATCCTTACCTGATACCATCCCTGGGCTGCGAGCACTTCCAACCCTGGAATGGTCGACCATCCAGCATCCTCAGCAAGTTGCATCAAGGGAGTATGACGAGGTTGGTAAGCCATCTCAAGGAGGACACGCTTCACCTCTGTATCGCCCTTCTGGCGTAATACCGCCACAAGTATTTCTCGGATCGATGGATCAATAGGCTTGTCCGCGGGAATCGTGCTTACAACGACGACGGGAGAAGAGGACAATGCATGTACCTCAGCACTATTTAGTGATTCGATACGAAACTCGGGAGGGAACGACGCCTTCAGGGCTTCTAAGCTGCTAATGTTACGTGCTAATGCGTAAATAGGTCCGAAGCCTAAAGAATGCAAAGCATAGATAGCAGCTCGAGTCGTGCCCCCCGACCCAATAACCATGGCGGCGCATTGACCACCGGGAAGGGAGCGAGAGGTGGACCCAACCGACTGGAGAGAGTGAACTATGCCAGCCCAATCCGTGTTGTCGCCTAGAAGCTTGGTTTTCGTCCCATCACTGCCAGGCAATGGGATGATAGTGTTGACAGCGCCTATGACACGAGCAGCTTCGGAAACCTCGTCGATCTCCTCCATGATGTCAAGCTTCAGCGGAATCGTTACCGATGCCCCACCGAAGTCGGGAGCGCGAACAATACCACGCAAATCTGCTGCGGTATCTGTCTCTTTGAGGGAGTACTTGTGCGGCAGACCAACCAGGCCAAAAAGAGAATTGTGTAATGCAGGAGACCTTGACGCCGAGATGGGCTTGCCAAAAAGGTAAAAAGACTGAGGGTTAATGCCACCGAGCAGTGACAGCGCCTGGCGAATTTCCGCCGCTGACATTTGTCCCGGAGCTGCCTTGAAGGGCAAATCGGGATGAGAAACTGGGGTGAGGCAACCATTGAGGACGCGACTTAGCTTGCCTGCTGCCCCCATATTCAGCGCAATAATGGGAGTGCTATGAGATGCGAGCATCTCGGACTTGAATCGGGCTAGGTCGTAATTATCTTCAATCCGCTGGGCAACACCAACTAGCTTAATCACGTCTCCCCACTGTAGAGCCTTGTTATAGAACGGGATCCATGAACCATTGCTCCAAGAAAGGGCGCCTTGGGGATCATGATGCGAAGCAATGATGCGTGATCGTCCCTTATTATCCACAACGTCTCGAATAACCCGCTCTGGAAGCGTCATTTCAACGTCGATGAATTCAACTCCCATACGAATAGCCTTTCGGTAGAGTTGAAGCCCTTGGTCATAAGCATCATCTGGGAATTTCCCTCCCTGGGCGCGTGTTCGCAAAGTAAATATGATTGGGACATCGGCAACAGATCTAAGAAGTGCCACTTGATGAGCCACAAACTCTTGTGAGTAATCTTGCAGCAAGTCCACGCGAAGCTCGACTGCGTCTGATCCAACAACGACGGCTGGTATGAGGGACAGGGCCGATGCAACTTGTGGCACGGTCAATGAGACAAAGAAACTTAGATCGTTTGACAGCGCTCTTGCCACCTGAGTGCTATCACCGCACAATGCTGTCACGAAGCGGCGGAAGTCCAGTGGCGGCTCCCGAGAAGCCACGGTGCCGGGCGGGTGAGGACTGAAATATTCGAAGTTGCTGCATTCCTCAAAGAATGGTTTCCTGCGGTAATAAACATCTTCGATGTCTTCCCTGTATGCAGGTCTCGTCTTGTCTTGAAGAAGATAGTCCACAACTTCTTTGGTGTTCCGATGCACCAGTAAAACACTGCCACGGTTCTGGCGGTGGGCGATGAGAAGTTTGCGAGCTTCCGGGGTTTCAACAATGCCACCACCGCACGAGAAGATGTAGCCATGCCCCTGCTTCTCCATAACGTCGCGTAAAAGATCCACTTCGTCTTTTCTGAAGCCCTCCCAGCCCCTCGGACCCCTGATCATCTCGGGGATCGTGATGCCAGCTCGGCGCTCCAGCTCTGCGTCTAAGTCGATGAAGGGCCGGTTCAAGGCATCAGCCATCCACTTGCCGGCAGTCGTCTTGCCCGCTCCACGCATGCCAATAATGAAGACCGATTTGTCTTTATGCTCTTTAGTGCAGGGTACTGCCGGTGCTGCCTTCGGGTGCTGGTCGACACCATCTAGTTCAACGTTAAAAAACTGGGACAAGGTGTCCCACCAACCGGGCCAGGTCTTGCCGGTACATTCCCTTTCAAGTATCGTAACCGGGTGTGGCGATACGGTTGACAAGACGCTGAAACTCATGGCAACGCGGTGATCATCGTAGCAGAACACCCCCTCGGTCGGCTGTTGGAGCTCCTGGAAGGAACATCCAGTAACAATGATTCCGTCCTCGAATTCATCGGTTTCAACGCCGAACTTGGCCAACTGCTCCCGCATGGCGCCAATGCGATTGCATTCCTTGACGCGCTGATTGGCGATGCCGCTGATCTTAGTCGTCCCGGAAGCCACTGCAGCAAGCACGGATGCAGTGAGGAAGGCATCTGTCATAGGCTCCATATCAACGTGCTCAATAGCTTTTAGGCTGCCGACGGGAGGGCCAGTAACTGTAGTAGAGGTGCCTGTCTGCTCAACCATACAACCCATAGGCCGCAGCACATCAACGGCAAATCGAGAGTCACCCTGAAGCGACTCTGAACCAATGTTGGGCACGGTACAAGTTGTTCCTGTGATGGCTGCAACAGCCAGTGGATAGGTTGCGGAGCTGGCATCGCTCTCGACGACATACTCAGCCGGGTTTTGGTAAACAGACTTGGGAATATAGTAGGTGTTTGGTTCCTCATTCGATCTGATCACGTCGACACCAAAGGTATGCATCATAGATATGGTCATGTCGATATAAGGCTGTGAAATGGGCTTTCCACCAACAAGGCGCAGCGTCACAGGATTTTTGGCGTACGGGGCAGCCATGAGAATAGAAGAGACGTATTGGGATGAGATCGTCGCCGCCAGTTCGATGGTGCCGCCCTCAAATCCGCCCGCAGCATCCACCTGCAAGGGAAGGCTCTTCTCCTGGCCGAGGTACTTGATGCCCAGGCCGTTGGCTCTCAAGGCATCAACAAGAGCTCCTATGGGGCGGACCTTCATGCGGGCGTTTCCGGTCAACACCGTAGACGAGACGCCAGACGGAGCACACAAACCCACGACTGTGGTCAAGAAGCGGGATGCAGTGCCAGCATTACCCAGATACAAGGCATCATTGCTGGCGCTGAGCTTACCGCCCTTACCCTCCACCGCTAGAACCTCGCCGGCTTCTTCCCAGGCATAGGTCGCACCACCTAGCTTGGAAATAGCCGACAGCATGTACTCAGTATCGTCAGAGTGCAGCAGGTTCTTAATCCGGCAGGTCCCTTGACCAAGGGCAGCAAGAACAAGCGCTCTGTTCGAGATGCTTTTGGAGCCAGGGGGTGTCACCGTGGTTTTGTGAGCTTTAGGCACGCCAGGGAAAACTTGTGTAGCGGCTGAAAGAACAACTCTGATTGCACGATCCTCAACCACGCTGGCTTTTGGTTCATAGGTTTTTCCAATGGCTGAGAGGAGCACAATCTTTTTCTTTGCCCCATCATTCTTCTTGTCGACCGCCATTTTCTCCAGTAGTACATCAACGGGACACTTCTTGCCAGCGGTCAACTTGACCACCCGCTTGTCATGTAGGGTGGTAGGCAACTCGAAGCTAGCAATGCATTTGACAAGACGGGCCACTGCGCCAGGACGAAGAACACCAAGGAATCGAGCCAATTCAGCCTCTTTAACCATGCCTATGGCAACCGCTTCACCATGGAGTAGCTGGGGGGTCAGAAGAGCCTCAATTGCATGACCAATTGAATGGCCAAAGTTGAGCAAGTTCCGAAGCCCACCCTCTCTTTCATCGCTGGACACTACTTGTGCCTTGACACGGGCAGAGCCCAACACGATGCCTTTGAGGATATCGCGTATGGGCTCAAGCCTCTGAGACGGGTCTCCGTCAGACTTGACAGCAGCTAAAATGGCAGATGCATTGGTCTCCAGTGCAGCGAATTCGTCCTCGTCCCAAATTGCGGCCGTCTTGATAACCTCGGCCATGCCGTTGATAAACTCTCGAGCCGGAAGTGTATTAAGGAACGTCAAGTCAATGTAGATTCGAATTGGCTGCCAGAAAGCTCCAATGAGGTTCTTCCCCATGGGGGTATCGATGGCCGTTTTGCCGCCAATGGATGAGTCAACCATGGAGAGTAATGTTGTTGGTACTTGAACGAAACGAATGCCTCGCATGAAAGTCGCAGCAACATAGCCAATCATATCGCCAATGACTCCGCCGCCAAGGGCAATGATAACTGTATCCCGCGTACATTTTTGCGACAACATCCAGTCCTCAATGGCTGCTTTCGTCTGGCGACTCTTGGAAACCTCGCCAGGCGGGATGGCGTAGGTGAGCAAGCGCGTTGTCGCCGGGGCAGCGCTGTTGAACACGTTTTGAAAAGGGGGGACATAAATGTCGTAGAGGTTCGTGTCCGTTATGAGAACATAGGTAGATGTATGCAGGTTCTCGAGCAAGTCGTGAGCCACGAAATCGAGCCAGATGCCATGGTCGACAATGATGTCGTCTTTGCCTAAGATGGTTATCCTTGTAGGGCCTGGACCGGACCCAGGGCCATTGATCAATCCCATGATCAGGAGATAGTGTATATGTATCTAAACGAAGGTTTGACGCATCGGGTTCGTGATTGTCGAGACTGCAGAAAGGGTCAGTAATGTGAATTGATAGAGTCAGTGGTAGATTTTCTAAATGACATTGGAGGGGGGAGGGGCAATTTCGAGATCTTGCGCCTATATCGGAGACCCAGAATGTATGACTCCTGTTTGTGTCGAACCAATTAGGCGCACCCTATCCCCGGCTTACACCGTAACTTACCCTAACCTACTCCACAAAGCGAGTTCAGAAAAGAGCTTAGTAAGAAATTTAAGATAGTATAAATAAAATAGTTATGAAGGTCCAATACTATATATTTTAAGTTTTAAATTTTTATATATTTTAGGATATTAAAAAAACATTACGGAGGTGCCTCCCAAAAGTTTTGACTAGCCCTCTGCCCCCCCCCCTGCCGCCACCCCTGCCACCACCCAGCGACGCCTTTCCTAATTAGGAAGCCACACCCACAACTTGCTTTTCCTTCCTACTACCCACTTCGTCACCATAATACAACAATAACAATACTTTAATAACGAATTTCGATCTTACGATAGCTCCAAATACTAATACAGTTTAATAAACCGTTATACTAACTTTAAGAAGTCCCTACGGAGGTAAGACTACGAGGGAAATCTTATAATTAATAAGGCTTTTAATACAAATAATTAATTGAATTTATTTATATACGCTCGACTAAGGCTTTAAGCCTAATTAACCTACCCTCGTTATACTTCCTAAATACGTATAAGATAAACCTCGATCTAGCTATCTTAAAAAGTAAATAGAAGTTATAAAAAAAGTAGTTATTACTAAAGTATATTATAATAGATATAAGCGTAAGAAGAACTATACTAATATAGCTAGTAAACTTAGTAAGGAAGGTATCGAGATATCCTATATAATAGTCTAGAGAATTCTTTATTAAGCTAGGTTTCGGAAGACGAAACTAACTCGGAAGCCAGGTCTTATAAAGAAGATAAAAGCTAAACAGCTTAAATAGTACCGCGACCGCTAATACTAAACCCTTAATAATTAGAAGAAGATAATCTAGTTTAATAAAACCTTAGTTATTCTACTTTATTATTATAAAGGCTACCGTCTATAACGGTAGCCTTACAAGGCTTATATATAATTCTATATTTATCCCTAGTAGAAAGGCTTTTCTAAATTCATATTCTAAGGCTATTTTTCCTATAATAAGAAGGGCCTATCTTACTACTAAGTACTAAAAAGTTTAAAAAGAAAAAGGCTTAATAAAGAGATTACTACCCTTAATACCTAACTTAAGCCTATTAAGCATATAGAATAAAAGCTTAACTAACTATTCTATATTAGGCTATAAGGCAAGCCAGGCCTAAAGCCTTAGTAGTAGTAGAATAAGACGAATAGTAAGCTTTTATATAAGGTAAAAGCAAGATTAATTAGTATCGATACTATAAAGAGATTCTATTTCTAAAGCTATTCCTATTCACTTAAGAGGCTAGTAGTAAAGCTATTATATAAAAAGATAAAACCTCTACTTATAACTACTAGTTTATATATAAGACATATAGCCTTAATAATATTAAAAAGCTTTTATAGTATAATAATAGCCTTAATCTTAACCTAATAAAGCCTTATTAGCCTGAGATAAAGCAATTTATAACTAGAAAAGGGGCCTTAAAAAGCTAGGTAGAGGCTATATAGGCGTAGGAGAAATATTAATAGCAACTAAGCTAGGAATAGATCTAGAAGTAGATTAAGCGAATTCCGAAGCATATAAAACAGATTATCGCTTTAGAAAGCAATAATAAATACAAAGAAGGCTATCAAGCTAGCAGATTTCGTTAATAAATTCCAGAATCTCTTCTTCGTTAATATAGCGACTAGTAGTAGCAGGGGACCCCCTGCCACTACCCCTGACGATATCCCTAACGTGGCTGTCTTAGCATTACTAGCCTGGTTAAAACTTTTAGGAGGTACCTCCGTAAATACTAATATAAAGACTTAATATATAAGATTTAATTATAATAAAAGCTATTAATATATATAGAATAGAATACTAAGTAAGACTTAGTCTATTTTAGTAAAGTAAGAAATAAAAGCTAGCTTCTATTTAGAGTATATTAAAATATAATATTATTATAAATATTATAAAAAAACGTAAATTATAATAAAATTAAGTTATTATTATTTTATAATTAAGTCTAAGTATTATTAATTATTATTACTAAATAAGAAATAAAATTATACTATATATTTATATTAAAGGTAGTTTATATATTTATAAGTTTTTAGCTTTATTATACTATATTTTTTTTTTAGATTTAATAAAGTATATATTTATTTAGGTACTTTAAGAATAAAAAATCTTTATAAGCTAGTAACTAGTAAGTAACTAACTATAGCTATACTTATAATTCTTTTTTATTTAAGGCTATTTTTAATAATTAAAGTAAGATATCTTAATTTTTATAATATATAAGTATTAAATAAAGTTTTTTATAACTTTTTTTATATAAAAAAGAAAAGAATATATATAATATAAACTTTTTAATTAAGTAAATATATAACGTACATGATAAGCGAGTGAGACAGACAAGCGAGTGAGACAGTAAACCGCGACCGTCGCACCTTGACGCGACCGGCACCTTTTCCTCTACAATAAATCATGGAATCAGCTAGTATTGAAAGAAGGTTACAAATTGCCCTTCAAGCAATGAGAAATGACCCAAAACTTAGTGCTCGGGCCGCAGGTGCACTCTATACAGTCAGTCACGCAACATTAAGCCGGCGACTAAAGGGAATAGTCTCACGACGCGACAGCATGCCTAATTCACGGAATTTATCAGATTTAGAAGAGAAGACAATAGTTGAGTATATTCTCGACCTAGATGCGCGATCATTTCCTCCCCGGCTGAGTGGTGTGGAAGAAATGGCCAATCGACTTCTCGCAGAGCGCGACGCGCCTCCAGTTGGGAAGCGCTGGGCTTCTAATTTCGTCAAGCGACAACCACAGCTTAGGACGCGTTTCTTTCGCAAGTATGACTATAAGAGAGCTCAATGCGAAGATCCAGAGGTGATTCGTGGCTGGTTTTCGCTTGTGAAGAATACAATTGCGAAGTATGGTATTGCTGATGCTGATATCTACAACTTTGATGAGACCGGCTTTATGATGGGCGTTATTGCTTCTGGAATGGTTGTTACAAGTGCTGAAAGGCGTTCAAATACGAAGATGACACAGCCTGGCAATAGGGAATGGGTTACAGTTATCCAGGCTATTAATTCCCAAGGGGAGAGCATCCCGCCATACATCATCGTTGCAGGCCAGTATCACCTCTCAAGCTGGTATACAGAAACCTCTCTTCCGGGCGATTGGGCTATTGCAACGTCTGAAAATGGATGGACAACAAACGAGAGAGGTATTGACTGGATCAGACACTTCGACATTTATACAAAACCACGTACGTCTGGGAAATATCGCCTCCTCGTTGTTGATAGTCATGAAAGTCACCACTCCGCAGCCTTCGAGCTCTTTTGTCAAGAAAACAACATTATTACACTGTGCATGCCGGCTCACTCGTCTCATCTACTTCAACCCTTAGATGTTGGTTGTTTTCAGCCGTTAAAGAATGCCTACGGTCGGCAAATTGAGAATAAGATGCGGCGAGGCACAACCCATATCTCGAAGGAAGATTTCTTTGCAGCATTTCACGAAGCTTTTAAGCAGTCTTTTACGAGGAAAAATATCCAGGGAGGTTTCCGAGGAGCTGGACTTGTCCCTTTGAATGCAGAAAGTGTTCTCTCAAAGCTGGATGTAAAGTTCCGAACGCCAACGCCTGAGGAGGGGGTCCCTCAGACACCAGACCCTTGGATCTCTAGGACGCCGAGCAACCCAAGCGAAGCAAGATCACAGTCTACTTTTATTAAGAGTCGAATCTCACGCCACCGAAGCAGCTCTCCAGCATCAATTTATAGTGCTGTGAGTAAGCTAGCCAGAGGGACAGAAGGACTAGGGCATCGGGTAGCATTACTAGAGTCAGAGGTTCAAATCCTTCGAGAGGAGAATGCAATATTAAGTCGGCGTCGAAGGGCTAAGAAAACACGTCTACAGAAAGGAGGAAGTCTTACTATATCTACTGGAGAGGATATACAGTCGCAAAGAGAGGCAGACACGCAACTACAAGAGGAAACGCGACGGAGTAGTGGTCGCAAAGTGAGGTCTGAGACGACTCATCGTCGGTGTGGCGTATGCGGGAATACAGGCCACAACGCGAGAACATGTCAATTTATTGAGGAAACATCCGAAGAACAGGAATCCGAGTAGTATTAATCAATCTAAGATTTCTTGTTATAGATTTCGATATTATTGTCGCGAAGGTCTGGTTTACTGTCTCACTCGCTTGTCTGTCTCACTCGCTTATCATGTACGTTATAAGATAATTATTTTATTATATTATATTAATATTAGGTTTTATTTAACTTTTAATTACTTATTTCTTAGAGTATATATTATATTATAAGTATTAATTATAGACTTATAATTATAGTATTTTTATAGATTATATTTAGTAGGTTATTTTTTAAAGTTAATAAAATAAGATTTTTTTTTATTTTATCTAATAAATACTAGTAAAATATATATTTTAAAGCTAGTTATTTTTAATATAAATACTAAATAAAGAAAATAAGACTTATTATTACTTTATAGTTAATAACTATAAATAAATAATATTATATAATATATTAAATTTTCTAAATAGATTTAATTATATATTAAACTTTTAATTATTATAAGAATATTAAAAATATTAATAAATACTAAAGTTAGCTTATACTAATTATTAATAATTTATAACTTTCTTAATAATAATATAATAGAAACTTTTAAAAATAATGAAAAGTAAGTATTATTTATAATAGGCTTTTACTTATAATTTAATAGGTTTAGTTTATAATAATTAAGTTACTAATATAAGTTATAAGTATTTTTAATATT